AAATTAAAAACAGACTTCTAAAACTATCCTCCACATGGATACACCTTCCTCAGAGTAATTTTGAATCCCAAAAGACAACAATCAGATTTAAGGATTCGGCAACTCTTATCACTAATCCCAGGCACCACAAAGAATTAACTATCATTAACTTTCATAAGGCTTCCCTGATCGCTCAGCAGTCAAGAATCTGTCTGCCATGCAGGAGACTCAGGTTTGATCCCTGGGTCAGGAAGATCCCCTGGAAAAGGAAATGGCAACTCAGTCCAATATTCTTGTCTGGAGAATCCCATGGACAGAGAAGCCTGGCGGGCTACAGCCCATGGGGTCGCGAAGAGTTGGACAGGACTGAGAGACTAAACCACAGCAACTTTCATAAAGACTTAATGTAACTGCTAGTTGATGATCTTTGTTACGAGAAACAAAGTTCCCACCTTACCGGAAAAGGTAAACAGAAACCACTCAAAATCTGAATGTTCACTAATGTGAGGACTGCAGGAAAAAATTCCCTTCAAAAGAACCATGATGCTCCTTCAGTCACTGTAGGCAAAGACTTCAGAATCGGCTGACTGCTACTGGGGATTGCCAAAAAAGGACAGGAAGAGCTTCCAGACATCACGGTCCTCTCTGCGGTGGTGACAGTGCTGAGCAGGGACCTTAGCCCAGCTCCTGGGTTGTCCCAGAACAAGCAGATGCTGCTATTTTGCCTTCTTCATGCCTCTCTCTTCCATGTAAGATGGCAGGTGCCCACCCGGAGGAAGATGCTATTTCTGTTCCTAAGCCCCTTCCCAGAACCACATGTCCAGACAGAAACCATCCTACAAACTGACAGCTGAAGACCAGAGTCCAAGCTGGGTATAGATTACACACCCAAGAACCAGCTGAGGTCCTGCTCCCCAGCTGGCGGGCCCCTAGCAGGCCACCTCACCCTGGCCCAGATGCAGGCCCTCTTGCTGAGAGCACGCACCAGCCTAAGGTGGACAGCTGGGCTGTGGAGGAGCCCGATCTTGGTGTCCAGGCTTGAGGCAGGCCACAGGGAAGCTCCCCCTGCAGAGACAGGGGGATGGCCAGCTGGCTTGAAGCCGTCCTTTGTTTTCAAGACTTACCTTTTATCTCAGCAACAATTTCAACTGCTGATAAAAACTCATCATTAGTTCAAATGGTTGATTTGTCTTTAAACAGCTCTTTAAAAATCTGAGCGCAGCCGTTGAGTGTATACTATCAAGATTTTACTTGGTTTCTATAACCTTGGTGACATTGATCTGCATGTGATTCTATGCAGGTCCCTAGCAGAGGAAGAAAACAGCTGTTTAATATGTAACACAGGACAAAAACAGCAACATAGCAGCAACAAAACTGACAGAAAGCAGGAAAATCTTCACTTCCAGTCTATATTTAAACAATATAGAGGGTGAAACACATACAAGAGGTTCTTACCCTTTTGCAAATAAATATAGAAAGAAAGAGAGAGGCAAAAAGGCTGGAGAGGGATTCCTGGATGGTGCAGTGGACAAGAATCCACCTATCAGTGTAGGAGACATGGGTTCAATCCCTGATCCAGGAAGATCCCACATGCCACAGAGCGACTAAACCCGCATACCACAACTATTGAGCCTGCACTCTGGAGCCCAAGAGTCTCAACTACTGAGCCGATGTGCTGCAGCTCCTGAAGTCTCTGCCCCTACAGCCTGTGTTCTGCAATAAGAGAAGCCGCCACAGTAAGAAGCCCCCGCACCACAACTGGGGGGTTGCCCCAACACTGCAAGAAGAGAAAGCCCCTGACAAGGGCTGCAAAGACCCAGCACAGCCCCAAATAAACAAACCAATACAATGATTTTAAAAATACGGCTGGAGAATCCACTCACTAGGCTTTCTCTTACTATCTTTTATGCTACTTTCACACTCTTCAGGAAATTCGAGAAAAACTTCCATAGCAGATGAACATACTAATATGCAAAAACAATGCTGCTGACTAATTTTTAAAAAAAAAGCAAACATAAAATGGAGTTGTAAGCAGAATGCATTGGGGCCATAACTTGAGATGACTCTGGAGATAAGACTAAAGCAATATTTTGTCACTTAAAAGCCCTGATGGATTCTCTTAATCAATGCTTGAACTACTCTTAATAAATACTGGAAAACAGTGAGACAACTACCAAAGTCCTCTGAGCCAAGTGTTCCCCCCCAAAATCAATGCCCAAACTCTCTGAAGTCTCATTTAGTGATTATAGTACCAGGCAGCCAAGATATCTTATCACAGAGAATTTGTTCATTCAAAACCATTATCAAGCAACATTTTGCCTATTGGGTGGTTAACAATGTTTCCTTTCATCCAGAAAATAAAGATTTTACATGAAAACCAAACCCAGCACAGGAGATGCATGTATATATATGCCTATATCTTTGAGGGGTAAAGGTGTATTAGCCAAAACTATCTATACTGAATATCAAGCCAAACAGCAATCATTGGGAAATGTCAAATCTGGGCAATCAGCTTGACAGTGCAAATATAAGACAAGCCTCAATTTAGCTTATAAGACTCCAGTAACTCTCTTGGACCCCTCAATTTTGGCAGCCACCCTCCCCAGTCTTTCTGGGCTGTCTCCATGGACTGATGAGCGCAGAAAGAAAACCCTAGTGCCCTGCCTCTCTCAGCTGTTAGGCATATTCTGCCCTCAGTTGACAACAATTAAGCGAGCCCCCTGTTCCTCTGAAGTGTCCTATGATTTCAGTCTACATGAGCTTGTCCCTGAAAACATCTATGAAATGGCCATAGGGCTCAGCTTGGGCACACAATTAGAAAGCACGTGGAGTGGCTGGCTTCCTTTTCTTTTTTTAAAAGTTTATTTATTTTAATTGGAGGCTAATTACTTTACAATATTGTGGTGGTTTTTGCCATACATTGACATGAATCTGGCTTCCTTTTCTACACATACTTGTCTTGAGCTTTCTTTTCTCTAAATACTCGTCCTGAGTTTCTTCAGCACTGCACCTCTGATCCACAGTCCACTATTCCTTGCCCGTTATATCCACAGACTCACAGAAAGGCATAAGCTGAAAAGTCCTATCCACATGACCCTGCCTGAGTGCCACTTAAACTTGATAAGAGGTGTTAACCTTTTAAAGCCCAGTCAGGCAGGCAGATCTGGGTTCAGATCCTGCTTCTGGTACACTCTGTTTCTGTAGACTCTGTTCTCATTTGTTAGACAGATAATAACTGCCTCATAAAACTGTTGTAATGATCAGATGAAATATTAAAATTCTTAAATTTAGAATTTCTATTTTCTTGGTCCCAGTTAAGACCTAATAGTTTGGGCTGAATTTTTGTAGTACATTATATTTCAAGCCCTACTGTTTTTTTTTTTTTTGTTGCTGTTGTTTTTTAATTTTATGGTCCCTACTTCAGTGTATGGCACCTTTTGAGAGAGCCATAAACCAAACATGTGAAAGAAGGCATTAAATCCCTATTACCACTACCTATTCCAGCTAACTTAGTGTTCTTTAGTTTGCCCAAGATCAATCATTTCCTAAACTGTGCCTTCTCAAGACAAATACATCTATCAAACCACACCCTCTCCCCACATACATACAACACATACACATAGAACTCCCAGCTGAAAAAAACACTGCCTCTAGCCCCAACTTTTAGAATAAAGTTACCATATTTACCAGAATACTTGGGCAAACTGTGATAGATGGAGGGACAGGATTTGGAAGAATTTTTTTTTTTAAATCTCTTTAGAACATCCTTAGGATTTGTGGCATCAAATCCTTAAAGGAGAACTACTTGCCTATAGCAAATCCTGGCAGCAAGTAAACCAGAAACTCACTGGTGAGTTGTGGGCGAAGTTAAATATTGCACTTCACTCCGTTCTATGCAAGCAAACAGTGACTAACAGGGTTACCTCGAGCTTTCGCATTGGGTGTAGAAATCCTTCCACAAGAAATAGGGTCCATTATTAGGCTCCCCCGTTAGCAAATTTATATTTAAGGCGGCACACATTGTGCTTTTGAGACATACTTTACTAGACAAATATTTGCTCCATAAGCCAGGGCAAAGGTGTCATTTCTTTCCTCTGCAGGGGGCAGCGACAGAAGAATCAATGGGGGAGAAGGGGATAGGATCCCTGACTCCCCAAAGAGGACACAGACTTCCGCTGAAGTAACGTTGGTTCTTTCAAGGAATATTTCCCCTAACGGCTAAAACGGTTTAACACATAATCAGCATCTTGTATCAATTACACAAATACCACGAAGCAACTCTGGTGGCCTGGGAAAGGACCATAATACGCAGAACTCCTAACTGGCCTCGGCTGTCCCCTCCCACGGGGTTTGACAGCGTGTCCAAGGCGCCCGAACACCAGCCATCAGGCTCCCCCCAGCGCCCTCCTCTCGCAGCAAACTGCCAAGGCTCTCGGGCCAAACTCCAACGTCCCTCGATTCAAAACCGAAAAAGTGTGAACCCCGCTAAGCAAACGGTAGGGCGCGTAATAACTTTTTTTTTTTTTCCTTTTCCGTGGAGCGGATTGGAGATGCTCGGCTCTAACGCCAACTTCCCAGGTCTCCCGTCCGCTTTCCGCAACCATCCCGTGGGGAAGGAGGGAGGGAGAGCGGACCAAAGAGAGGGCTGGTGAGTTTTAATACCTCCGTGGTTTTCCCAGTGCAGGAAATTGACTACACAGCAGCCCCTGAGAATTCGGTGCAGGTCTAAAGAAAGGAGAATGCTCACCCCTCGCCCCTGCTAAGAGGAACAATAAAAGCACGCAGCAGGCGCTCAGCTGGCCATACCAGGCCTTCCTAAGGGCCGATGGAGAAAGAGATTTCTCCAGTCTGCAATCCGGAGAAAGAAAGATGCCTGGCCAAGCGGAGGCCCGGGCATGAGTGTCCAGCCTGGGTCCCCAGCCTGCCGGGGAAGGGGCCTACAGAGAAGGGATGGCGACTGTAGAGGAGCAGTCGGCACGCGAGCCGCCCGGGGAGGGTAACGGCGGCCGAGCTCTACTTACATAACGCTTCAACTTTTTCTCCGGGGGGGACTTGCGGAGCCATCCCGAGCAGACCACTTCGCCGCCGCTCATGGTGCGCGCCTTTCGGGCTCCGGGCCCGGCGCGCTCCCGACACCTTGGACGCCGGACGGCCGTGCAGCGGCTGGGACCTTGCTCTCCCGCGGCGCACCCCAGGCGGACGGGGCGGACCGGCTCCGCGGCGCTCTGGCTCTTGGCGTTCGAGTTTCTTCCCCGCAGGCAGGTCCGCGGACGTGAGTAGAAGCGGGCAGAGCCGCCGAGGCCGACACCTCGGGGCAGGGGCCGCGGCCAGGCCGAAGATGCCCAGGCCTCCCTTCAGTGCGCCCGCCCGGCCGCCAGGCGCGCCGTCCCGCCGGCCGCCTCCTCTGCGCTCGGGCTCCACGGGACTCTGCCCCGGCGCGGAGCCCGAGCCTCGGCCCCCTGCGCTCCGCCCCCTCGGGACGGGACCTCCCAGAGCGCACTCCGAGACAGACACGACGCTGCACGCGCGCACACACACAGTCTCACACGCTCATACACACACAATGCCCCCGCGCAGTGCCCACTCCGACTGGCCGGCTCTAGGTTTCGCTGCGCTTGGCGCTATCCCCTCCTTCCTCCTTCTGGAGGGAGGGTGGGTCACTTCCCCGAGGCGCCCGGACCGCAGCGAGGAAAGGGAAAGCCGCGAGGGTCCCGTGGTCAGCGGGCGCAGGGCTGGTCCCGGGCCACGGAGGGAGCCGCCGACTCGGCGTCGCTGGGCAGGTCCCGCCGAAGGGTGGGTCCGCGCTGGCCGCCGCCGCGGGAGACGGAAAGCAGAAGGCGGCAGAAGAACGAGGCTCTGGGCTGCTCGGCTGTGGGGACCAAGCCCACCGTCCCGTTCCCTAGCGCTGCTCCTGCGCCGCCTCCCCCACCCCAGGGCGCGCGGCAGGTTCTGGGCGGCCCGGCCCCCGGCCCCGATCCCTCCCTCTCCCGGCCTCCCGGCTCCCTCTTCCTCTCTTTCCTCCTCCCCTTCCCACGTTCGGGCCGGCTCCGGTTTCTGCCCAGACTTTCTCTGAAACTCCGCCGGAGCGCTTCCAGCCAAAACAACAAGGGCCAGGGAGGAGGAGACGCGCGGAGGGAGGGAGCGAGGGAGGGAGGGCGCGGGAGTCCGAGAGGCACCCTGGGATCTGTAGTTCGGGACGCTGGAGAGGGGTCCTCGGCCCCCCGGCGGCCGGGGATCCCGGAGCCCCCGGCGGGCTGGTCGCCGAGGAAGGCGGCGAGGCCTCGCCCAGAGTAACGCCGCGCCATCTCGGGTTCCCGGGCGACCGAGGAACATTGGAACATCTAAGTCTGTGGATTGCCATCTTGGCTCAGCCGAGTGTCAGTTCGGAGTTTGTTCTGTGCGGGAGATCGGGAGTTGGGGGCGGGTACTTGACAGCGTGGAAAGCGAAACAGCCTGGAGGAGGACCGGGCGCCCTGGAGAGTCTGCGATCCCGGGGTTTCTGCCCGCAAGACTGAAGGGCAGACACCCGGAGGGCGAGGTCGCTGGGAGCGCGCCAAGGCGACCAGCCTGCAGGGGAGGTGGAAGGGGACCCTCCCGGACTGGTGTGTGCTGGACCCCGGAGCAGCCTTCCCTGAGTGGTGGGAGCGCTTAGTGGACCCAAAGGATTCAGTTGAATCTATCTCTGGGGCATTTTGAAGTCTTACACTCCCTCCGTTTGTTGCCAGTTTCTTCCATTTGCCTTGGCTTTTATTTAAAATCAACCCTTGGGTTGTTGGCCAGAAAAGAGAAACTTACTGGATGTCCTAATTCTATTTGTTTTCTTGCGTGTGTTTTACAATGGCTATGATACCTGGTCCTGAGATTAACACGATCGTGTAAGAGAAATATCTTTTCCAATGTATTTATGAGAAACAAAGCCCCCAGACAGATGTTGGAACGTGATGTAAATAATCAGATAAAAGTGCCAAACGTTTCTGGAAAAAATAACCTCAGGCGTGTTCTCCTTAATACAACATTCATGTTCTGGAGTTCCTCTTGAGTTTGAAAATGTTATACAATTGTAGTAAAAAGTTAGGTGCTGGGGTGGTGACAAATAAAGGTCCCTGCTCTCAGAGCGGTGACATTTCTGTGGTGGCATAAGACAGTTAACAGGGGTCAACCCAAGTACAGATTGTGATAAATGTGCCCTGGGAGAAATTGGAAGAATAATTAGGGTGGAACTAGGTCAGATACTAGGGGAGAAGTCTTCCTTAAAGAGGCAGCTAGCCAGAGATGTGAAAGATGTTGTAAAGATGTTGTCTTGTGAAAAGATCAAAGCGATAACCATAAGGAGGACTGAGAGAGGAAAAACAAGCCAGGAGGTCATTGTTTTTCTTAAATGTTAGAATACAAGTGAGTGTAATTTTTATGGCAGCTAATAAACCAAAGCAATTTTTATGTGAACTCGGGTTTTACCACAAACCATCCATATGAAAATAAATCATTAAATTTGTTTTCCACTTCTACCACAAGCAGTGTGTCTGTGTACTGAGTCAAAGTATTTAAAATTAGCATTGCAGAGACTGGTCCTCTCTTTCATAGTTAACTGTTTGCTAGATAATCTACCACTCCTATTATTTTAAAGTTCATTTTTAAAAATTGAAGTATAGAGAAGGAAATGGCAATCTACTCCAGTATTCTTGCCTGGAAAATCCCATGGACAGAGGAGCCTGGCAGGCTACAGTCCACAGGGTTGCAAAAGAGTGGGACACAACTTAGCCCCTAAACAACAACAAAACAATTTATTTACAATGTTGTGTTAGTTTCAGGTGTATAGCACAGTGATTCAGTTATACATATGTATGTGTGTGTATATATATGTGTGTGTGTGTGTGTATTCATATTCTTTTTAATGAAAAGTTGTGATACAGTCATCCCTTCGTATCCTTGGGGAATTGGTTCCAGGACCCCTCCCATACCAAAATTTTTTGATGCTCAAGTCCCTTGTACAAAATGGTATAGTCTTTGCATGTAACCTAAACACATCTTTCCGTATACTTTAAATCATTTCTAGATTACTTATAAGACCTAATACAGTGTACATGCTATGTAAATAGTTGCTATCATAGAGCAAATTCAAGTGCTGCTTTTTGGAACTTTCTAGATTTTTTCCCAAATATTTCCTACCCAATGTTGGTTGAGGAACCCAAAGATCTAGAAGGTCAACTGTATGTATATCGTGTACTACCTTGGAGTGTTCCAATAATTTTTTCCATTATTTCAAATAAGGGATTGAATTAACTCATTTCCATGTAAGAAACCAAGGACTTCCCTGGTGGTCCCGTGGCTAAGACTCCTCATTCCCAATGCAGGGGGTCCCCGGGCTCAATCCCTGGTCAGGGAACTAGATCCAACACGCCTCAACTAAGAGCTGCAACTGAAAAGAGCCCGCATGCTGCAGCTGAGACCCAGCAGAGGCAAATATATATATATATATATATATTTAAGAAAAATAAATCATTAAGTATCTTTCCCTATCTTCATTTATGTTATTTCTAGATGTCAAATAAATGAGAAGAGGTTGAAGATAAATACGTCTTCATGTATGTGTGTTGAAAAGGAAATTGGCTTTATCTTTACATGATACGCCATTTTTAGATGCTTCTGTTAAATTGCATTTTACATCTTTATATGTTAAAAAGTATGCTGGGGAAAAAAAAGTATGCTGGGAAACACTATTACACATCAGTGTCTTAAATTTCATGCATACAACACATACTCATGGAATGTCTTTGTATGTACAAGCTCTTGAGGACCCAGGATACAAAGAGAGGTTACCAAACCTATTACCTCACCCCTTTGTCCTAGAGAAGAACATTTTGCTAGTAATCAGCACCTTAACTTCTACAATACAGTTGATAAATGCCGTGAATGAAAAGCCAAGAGTCTCAACGGGGCTCTACCCTCTGGGAGAAGGGTGAGTAGGGGGAAAGACTTCCCTGAGAAATGGACTTAACTCTGATCTTCAAGATGAGTAGAAATGGCCTAGCCAAGCAGCAGAGGAGAGTATTCCAGACAGCAGAGAAGCTGTCAGATGCCCAGGTCTTCAGGCTGGAAGAAACGCCTGAGAACCTGAAGGAAGGCAGCAGGGAGGCAAGTGAGAGGGACTTTGCACTGGGTGAGGGGACAGACGGCAGGAGACAGAGTGAGCCGATGCTTGGAGACGGTCTTAGGGTATAGATTTTTTCCTTGGAGCAAATGACAGTTATCACCTTCTGTGATCTTCAAATCACCTTAGACCATCACCCCTTCATGGACTCTGTCTCACCTCCAGCAGCAGACTTCCCAATCACTCCATTTTCCAACTTGATCTTTCAAGTTCTTCCTCTATAATCTTCTCCAGCAGCTTTCTAGCCTGCTGATACCTCTGCTTTTCCGTGACCCACCAGACCCCTCCGTCTCACACTCACCCCCTTTTCCAGGTTGAATCTTGTCATCCACATAACATGTTGTCCAAATATCATGCTTCCAACCCACAAAACCCCAACCCTGGGTGAACCCAACTGTACTTCCTCTGACACCGAAACAGCCGAGCGTGGTTGGAGCAAGTTAAGCAACAGAATGAGCAAAGTCACCATAAATTCAGATTCAGTGACCTCAAATAGATCCTCAGCTCTCTGCAGGGGCAGATCTTTGTTTTCTGGAACCTGAAGCACATACAGTTTTGTTGTTGTTGTTTAGTCGCTAAGTTGTGTCCAACTCTTTGTGACTCTACAGGCTGTAGCCCGCCAGAAGACTGGAGTGGGTTGCCATTTCCTTCTCCAGAGGATCTTCCTGATTGTACCTGCTTCTCCAGCATTGGCAGGGGGATTCTTTACTGCTGAGACACCAGGGAGGTCCATATTCATTTTGAGGAGTCATTTTAAAGGGAAAGAATATACAATTACAAATAAAAATGTGAATATGAATCTAGAATGAGGAAATGAATGAGGAACAGATTACTGGAGCCTTGGAGATACAGCTGCCTTTCCTTTGAGATCTCTATGGTGATTTGGGCTTCCCAGGTGGCGCTAGTGGTAAAGAACCCTCCTGCCAATGCAGGAAACATGAAAAC